GTTTATGGGTATCCGGCTGGTAATTACGCTGGCACGACCAGCAGCATATAGGCCTTACATTGACTGGAATGCAATATAACATTGCCATCATCGAAATGAACGAATCGATTATTGATTGAGTGCCGTGAAAGGGAGGGAAGGGTGAAAGATGATTGAGCAGAAAGAAAATTCTTTGTAGGGGCAATGAAGGTAGGAAAGTATTGGAAAGGTTAAGCTTTAGGTAAAACCTATAATGAGACAGAGAGTTGGCAAACCAGACTGATGAAAAACTATCTACAGCAATCCACATAATTTAATTTTCATTTTTCAGCACTATTATTTTCTAATCAGTAAATATCGAGTACGGTGGAAAAACCCATCCGCCTATAGGACTAATCAATCAACATTATTAATGCTGATTCCGTTCATATTATGAGTTACTATATTACCTTAACTAACAAAATAGAATATTACATCATAGTCGATCTGAGTTGATCAGAGCGCAAACAATTTCTAGTGGAAGGAAAAAATCAATAAATCGATTACCAACACATGAGTTGTTCCTCTAAGATCTGGTCATTAGTCCAACATTTTAGAAATCTAACTTGCAGAGAAATCAACGAAGAACTGGTAAATATCGTATTTGTAGCCGGATTACAACAATAACAACCCCTTACTATGGTTTGTTCTCAAAATCACCATTAGTAAAACTCTAGCGAATTCACTTACAAAAAAAATCCTCAGAAAATCAATAGCAATCGATAATCCAGCAACTAGGCAAGCAGCATGACGACGCACTTGACACTATTGAGGCGTATGCGAACGACATTCAATGAACAGCAGAGGTAATGATGATCGACCAAGGACGATGACACGAATTGGCCAACTGCCAGACGGTTTCGAATCGATCAATTACATTGAAATAAGAAGGTTTGGGTGGAATAGGCGTTAATTTCAATCAATACCGATCGATAATTGATGGAGTACTATCGTTGTCTGATGAAATATCAAGGTTACTGATAAGGGATGAGTTTTAAGCTTCAAGATCAAATGAATAAATTTGATTACT